CCCATTTAGCAAGAAGTCTCATGACGGCGTATAGCTGTGTGCTTGTCTGACAACCTGACTTTGCAGCGATCTCTTCGATACTCATGGATGGCTCTTTGCTGTTGCAGAGCAGTTCAGGAATCTTTAGGCCAACTATGGTTGCAATGCACCGGTTTTTCCACACAGAATGCATTATCGACAGCAAGTAAGCTTCTTGGGAACTAACAACCATGTCTTTAGGGGTTGTGTGCTCCATCGTTCGAATATACTAACCGTTGGTAAAGAGTCTATATACCTTTTTCTTCAAATCGATATCGTGTTTTCTGTGTGACTCACAATACGTGCTAGAAGCCAAGCAGGCTTTCTTTACGCAAGAATTAAGTTTTGTTTTGAATTGATGTGTAAGCAGCAGACCGAAAACAATGAAGCGCTATGACTTCTCACTGCATCATTGATATCGCCCCCTAAAAAAACATCGCATCGTGCATGACGTATTGTAAACGCATAAGTGAAAACAGTCCTAAAGTTTTTTCAAGAAGCTAGTAAAGCATTTTTACCGGGTAAACCCCGGGGGTAAACTCAATGAACTCATCATTCCCAGAGTTTTTAGAGATGGAAGTTTATAATATTAATAATTCATCATGAGACACTTGGTTTGGACTGAAGCATGTGTTGTTTCATAATAAGTCACAATAATATTTTTTTAAACAGAAAGGAAAGCGCATCAAATCCTCGAGTTGAAGAAATGAAGTTTTCAATTATAAAATGCACCTTTTAAGCTTTTAAAAAAGTCTTAGTAATTCTTATTTATATACAGGCATTGTGTTTGTGTGTCTGTTTGCTTTATTTTATTTTTTGTTTTCCTTTAAAACAAAAACATCTCTAGATTACGGGAGGAAGACACATTTAAGTGCTTATATTATGACCATGAAATAAAATCTCAATAGTTTCTAATAAATAGTTTTTACTTTGTGACTATTTAACAATTAGACCTCGAGGTCGAGTGGACTACGAGCTAATAGCCCATGAGGCCGAGTCCACTATCATTCAGTGGGTGTAGAGTCTACTAGCGTCTATTAGCGTACGAACTATATTTCACAATCCAATGAAAATCACTCTATTTAGATTTTATTTCATGGACATAATGTAAGCACTCTAGATGTGTTCCTCTCGACTTTTTATTCGGCGTTCCAAAGGAGTTTAAATTTCTGCCTTCTTTTTTTCATTGTCGTCGCTTATCAGTCAAATATGTCATTTTATTTTTTCAATTTTTCTTATACATATACAATAGAATGGTTGTCAAACTATCACCATTCTTATSCTATTTCTTGGCCTTTGTTTTCTTTCTGTGTCCCTGAAAACGGCACACAATACATTTTAAATTGTAGTTCTTGACAGAGTTCTACACACAAACAGTACACAAAAACAGTGTATTCGAGTAAGATAAATTCTTCACCGTGAACAGTACGTGAGGAAACTTACTGACGTTTCTGACGTTAGTTCGTCGGAGTGAAAAGGAATGTCCGAAACTGACTTGTTCCTAGTCTCCAAGCTTTACGAGACACTAGAATAAAGGCGAGAGACGACTGGGAATGAGTCAGCATTCGAAACTTCAGAAAGTAATTTCACGTAGTTATTAACGTGTATAATTTATCTTATTGCACAATTCTTTCTTTAGAAACACCGACGAAKCTCACACTAATTTAACGCTAGTTTCCATCACTACAAAAAAARGTGAGTTTTGCCAACGCTGGAGACAAAACAATAAAGGAAACGCGCTACCAAGCGACAAGATAACAAACGAGCACATCACAAGATATCAAAGAAAGAGAACAACGTCTCGATTGATACACCACAATAGAAAAGTATATAATTACATCATTTACACACCTTTTTTTCTTGTTTTTCTTTATTGTATCTAAAGGTCTTGAGAGGATCGAGTTTCTTYTTCTAAAATATGAAAAATAACAAGGATAACAATTATAACCGTTGCTGACTTGCCTCTTATGGGGATCTTTGAAAATAAAATTTTACTTTGTGCCAAAGAAAACACGTATCTTACATCGAGCCAAATTTGATGCAAGCTTCGTTTTGTTACAAATTTAAGCCCCATTTGGATTAAATGCAATAATCCAGCAATTTCAGAAAACTTTAAATACTGAATATACGACATAGAGCATTCCAAGACCGCAAAGCATTGTTTCCATTAAACTCCGCGTTAKCTGCGTTACAAAATGACAATTCTAAACTTAGTTGCTCAATGCTTGCAGTAGGTCTTGACTGTATGTAGCTGGTGTAGCCACTCTGCAACCACGAGAGCTCCTTTTGAACGGGTATAGAACGAAYAACAATGCATTTCGATCTTGGAATACACCACTATCTTCGGTATTGAACGTTTTCTGAAATAACTGTAGAGATGATATGTACTTCTGATGTGAGATTTCTCGTTTGAGATGGACCTAATTTTTTCTCATTATTCGATGTACGCTGTTTCTCTTAGAAACATGGGCCTCACCTTATTATTACTTCGCAATCCACTTTTAAAATGAAAATTTTTCTGTTTTCTYTTTCTTGTTGACATATTTGGTTTTAATGTAGCAGGAACTGAAAAACAATGTCATCTTTTTCAATTCATATTTTGATACGTTTTTTTGTCAGTGTACACCTATTTCAAAAAACTTTRTCGGTGAGAAAGGCGAACGACGATTGTCGATGGGAGATTGCAAGTCCGAAAGAGACTATGGTTACAGTGCTTTGATAAACAAAATTTTACTTATTGGATACATCTCGAATAGAAATGGAGACAAAATGGAGTCAATGTTTACCACAGACTATCTTACAGTACAAATCAGTTGTTTTTTCTCATCACCTAGCAACACCCATGGCTACTTTCGGTCGTGCAATCGCCGTTCGACAATTCACATTCGCCATTTTATCCGACAACCTTAAAAAGTTTTTGAAATAGGTATATATCTGTCTGATGAGGGCAAATACCTAAGTAATCAGGGACGTTTTTCATGTGTGCTTGAACTCTTGCTGGGTGAAGTTCTTTGTCATGTCGTAAAACCTGAAGATCTCTTGGATTGTCCTCAAAATATGCCTATCAGATTCCAAAACAATTATATATTTCATGGTATTATATTTTACGGTATTAAAATTTATTTCATTAAACAACTGTTTTTTTTAGAAATACCGACGCAGTTCTTWCTAGTTTACCGCTAGTTCCCACCATTTTATTATTTCACAGTCTTTTTTGTTCATTTATAAAAATGAATCCTTTCTTTTGTTTACCAAAGCAAAAATATACAAATCTATCAAGACTGTATTAGTGACAGTACAATACGGCTTCATATCTGTCAAGTTCCCCTTGTCATTGTGGTATATTTAACACAGTTTTCATAAGTTCATAAAGATATTTAATATTGTATGTGTACCTTAAGTTTCTCAGAGTTGAGTATCTCTCTTTTGATTTCTTTTAATCTTGCTTCTTTCACTAAAACAATCAAAGGAATTATTCGTTGGATGAGAAATCAAACATGTTAGATGAACATCATTGGCCACCAATAACTGTTTTCAGGTAATGTTGGATTCTGGTGGTTTGGTTTTGGTTATGAGATTACCTGCCGTTTTCGTTACAGCTCGTAAAGCATCCTGAAATTACAATAGCTTTGAGTCAAACGACACACCACGAGGCAGTGACATAAAGAAGAGAAAGAGTGTTTTACTGAACACTATATTAAAATATCAGGCCAAAAAAACAATACACGGTGACACCATGTTTTACAAATAACTTTATAATAGGAAATGCGTTGTTCTGGTAATTTTTGTGCATCTTAAAAAAAAAATCCGCCCTGAAAGCGTTTTTTTGAGTGCCACTCTGCACGAAGACTCATATAGACCTTGCCATTCAATATTACCTGTGCACGATAACGAAATCCTTCAATTTCATCCATTTTAAACTGGTAAGGTTTGAAGACCTCTGCTTCTTGTCCTGAGATAATAAGCAGCATATATATATATAWAAAACTAATCGTTTCTCATTCAATAGCGATCTAAATACATTAATGTATAAAAAAAGACCATATARTACAAAATGTATTGTTAAATGATAGTGGACGCTGCATACACGGTCATTTTAATTCTTTTTATTGCTTTCATTGCCGGAGCARGATTCAATTTCAGTCTGCATGTATGTGMGCCCTTTCGCAACGTTGAATGCATCGAAAGAACGGCACTCTACGCTAATCACTCTAGTGATGCCGAGGTCAGGAATCGAATCGAGACAATGGCAATTACAAACTAATGTTTTCCAGTAACTATCATAGCTCCTTTTTTGGCAATTTGAAGTATTCCCATAAACTACAGTAAAATTTAAAAATAGCATGTTTTCCCAGAGCCTCAAAAGGGGAGCGAGGAAAAATGAGAACGAGTATCCCATAACAAGTTCACTAACCCATTTCCTTAGCCAGTTGTTCTTCAGCTTTCTTCAGRATAGTATTATCATTGTAAGTTGTAAAAGACAGCGCAGTTCCAGAATTGTCCCCGCGTGCTGTTCTGAAAACATCAATCAAAGATATAAGTTACCATGATCTTTACCAAACCGTTGACGGAAATTATATCCGCAAAACCTTTCTGCGGATTGTTTTTTTTTTAATCACATTTTTTAGAAAATTTTTAAATTTTAAAATTTAGTATGCATGTAGACATTACCTTCCCACTCTATGAATGTAAGCTTCTACGGTTGTTGGGAAATCAAAGTTGATGACATTTTCAACACCTGCAATAAAGAAACGTTGAGATTGTAACGCAGGAGAAATGTTCTTAGCAAGACTAAAGCAGTGTCCATTGTCCTTATTTTGTTCGAAGCTATGATAGAAAAATATATAGCAGAATATGGTGACGGTGATTCTGCGTTTTCCTTTCATTGCTGACACAACAAAAGATATTTGTTTATCACGACCTGTATTCGGCCCGTACATGCTCTCAAGAAACTTTTGCAGCGGTGACGAATAAGTGTCTGGAAATTACCCGTGACTTTGTGAAATTCTACAGTATTCTTTATTTCCCATACTTTTTTACGGTGTTAAACTTATCTTTTTTACACAACTGTTTCTTTAAAGAAACACCGACGCAGCTCACACTAGTTTACCGCTAGTTCCCACCATTCTTTATAAGTGAGTTTAAAACAATTTACATCACGTCTTGCTGTTATTTACCTTGGAAATCAATCCCTCTTGAAACACCATACTCTTTATCTTTTTTATTTCTGTACAAATAATAAATAAAGTACCTTAATTTTACATTTCACGGCGAGGTGACAAATGACTAGTCYCCTMGCAGCCGTTCTTAGCGGCGGGYTCCCTGTCCSCCGCCCCACAAMRGCGGKRARACAGGRAGCCCRCCGCTGAGAACGGCTGCGAGGAGACTAACAAATTACATACAGAACATTTTTTGGCATGTGAAAATAACTTTAGTTTTTGAAATCAGCAGAATAGTTGCATGGAAAAGAAACCATACTGTCTAATTCTATTACAATACTAGAATACTTAACAGTCCTAATGAAAGAAAAAACAGAAACTTACTTTTTATTCTTCTTTGATGGGTCTGTAGTGATGAACGAGTTAAGAATCTCTAACTTTTACAAATGACAAAATAATAAAAAAACTATGATGGTTCATAGAATAATAATGATGCATGAGTATCGCTATAATTTGTTTTAATAACCCCGTTAAAAAAGTATTGAATGCAAACATAAGATTTTTAGAAATTGCCTAAAACAGGTAACCCAAGTTATAGCAATAGCTAGCACAGGTATCCCAAGATATGGCAATAGCTAACACAGGTATCCCAAGTTATAGCAAAAGCTAGCAGAGGTATCCCAAGATGTGGCAATAGCTAACACAGGTATCCCAAGTTATAGCAATAGCTAGCACAGGTATCCCAAGATATGGCAATATTCTAACACAGGCAACCCATGACTTATACAGGTTGCCCACTATAATAACCTTCAAGGATACGTAATGTGCCAACAGTTTCAAATACTGTTTCATCTGATGCTATAATGTAGTCATAAATATCACGATTGAATTCATCCACAATATGAAGCCTGAATAATGATAAAAAAAAACGAAAATCACATGCAGTATAAAAGCTGATTGTGGTATCATAGTGTGGTGTGAGACAAGGCTAAAGACATGCTTGTGGATATGACAAATAACCTGTAAAATTCATCAACTTTTACAAGTAGAATTACAACGTAAAGCCAGCCATGCATATCAACCTACCTTGAATTATGAGGAAGTTCTGAATTCAGTACACAAGCCTTGATTGAGAACTGCTCAAGAAACAGCTTTAATCTTTGAAAAGATACAGTAGATTGT